GGTGACCCACCGAGGCAGGGTGACCCACCGAGGCAGGGTGACCCACCGAGGCAGGGTGACCCACAGAGGCAGGGTGACCCACCGAGGCAGGGTGACCCACAGAGGCAGGGTGACCCACAGAGGCAGGGTGACCCACAGAGGCAGGGTGACCCACCGAGGCAGGGTGACCCAAAAATAGAGAAAATCCCCAAAAAGAAAATACCTTCATCATCATTCAACACTTTCACCTCACTCATACATAATCACTCTCTTTGCAGAGGCACCCAGATACAATCATTTAGAAGCATATATAAAGATATATAACATATCCTTCCAAACTGCCAATATCCCAAATCCCTCCTTTAAAGTGCAGGCATTGTACTTTCCATTTCCAGGACTCAAGTCCACCTATATAAAAATAACCAGTTTCCCTGAATCCTTCACTAAATATTACCCTGCTCACACTCCAACAGATCGTCAGGTCCCAAAAACCATTCATCTCCATTCACTCCTATCTAACACACTCACGCACGCTTGCTGGAAGTCCAAGCCCTTCGCCCATAAAACCTCCTTTACCCCCCTCCCTCCAACCTTTCCAAAGACGACCCCTACCTTGCCTTCCTTCCCCTACAGATTTATACACTCTCCATGTCACTCTACTTTGATCCATTCTCTCTAAATGACCAAACCACCTCAACAACCCCTCTTCAGCCCTCTGACAAATACTTTTATTAACTCCACACCTAATTTCCACACTCCAAATTCTCTGCATAATATTTACACCACACATTGCCCTTAGACAGAACATCTCCACAGCCTCCAGCCACCTCCTTGCTGCAGCATTTACAACCCAAGCTTCACACCCATATGAATGTGTTGGTACCACTATACTTTCACATATTCCCTCATTTGCCTCCACAGATAACGTTTTTTGTCTCCAAAGACACCTCAACACACCACTCTCAGCTTCCTTCCTTCGTCAATTCTATGGTTAACCTCATCCTTTAGAAACTCATCCGCTGACACGTCAACTCCCAAATATCTGAAAACGTTCACTTCTTCCATACTCCTTCTCCCCCTCTCATTTGATACCCTCATCACCTTACTCTTATGTATGTTCAGTTTCAACTTTCTACCTTTACACACCTCCCAAACTCGTCCACTAACCTTTGCAACTTTTCTTTAGAAGCTCCCATAAGCACAGTATCATCAGCAAAAAGTAACTGTGTCAACTCCCATTTTGTATTTGATTCCCCATAATTTAATCCCACCCCTCTCCCCAACACCCTAGCATTTACTTCTTTTACAACCCCATACCAACAATATCAATATGAACAATGCGAGGTGGAATTCAAGGGCCATTGAAGCTATTTTTGCATTCATTCTTATACTTAGAAGACTTTGGAAAAGATATGCAGATTCATTTCATACGATGAAAATAACTAAGAACTTGTCAGAAATATTGAAACCTTACAAAAAAGCACTGAACTCATTGAAAAATCACTGGAAGCAGGAGCCGTCTGCACTCAATATACCAAGAAGTAATCAGTGTGTTGAATGTGCAAAGTTATGCAGGAACTGTATGCTGCCAACAGAAACAAAAACAAACTGCAACTTCAGTTTATTCTAAGCAATAAGTAGCAATATATGTACAAACATGATAACAATGATGCTGTAAGTTGTTAAATTAGACACATGTGCAACTCTTGGACTGACCACATCGACTCAAGGCTGAGGGATTGATTACCTCATTCTCCTCCTTTTCTTCAAGTTTATCCTTTGTATGGACTGATGAAGCCACTGTGTGGCAAAAAGTTTCCTCAGTAAAGATACCCAAGAGTTGCACGTGTCTAATTTAACAACGTGTTGGTTCTTTGAACCATTCATCTAAAATCCTGTCAGACACTGAAACTTCTTGGGATCTTAATACTTGGGAATTCTTCGCTTGCCTAACCCTTGGGCACGACCTACTTCCACATTGGACAAATGTGACACCACCTACGACTGCTACACCTTTCCTGCCATACGGTTTATAAGCTGCTTCTCCGCTCATATGCCGTATTCTATTCAAGATTGATGGACTGGCCACATCAACTCAAGGCTGAGGGACTGATTACCTCATTCTCCTCCTGTTCTTCAAGTTTATCCTTTGTATGGACTGATGAAGCCACTGTAAGTTGTTTTATTTGTTATTAATATCACAGGCAATATGCATTCAAGTTACTTGTTTTCGTTACTCGTTTTTTTCATTTAGGGGCGACATTCTCTAAAAAGATATTGAAATGAAAGGTCATTTCATGGCTTTCAGGCAAAAGTTCATCTAATTAAGGTACATGAATATTACATTGTATAAGAGTTGTAACCCTAGTGTGTAAAAACCTACACCAAGCCTTCACCCAGCTACATTTTCCTTCCTTTTTCATCAAAGATTGCAAGACAACATTCCTTCAGATCGTCAATTATATACGCACTACCACCACTCCTAAGAAAGTTATAATCCTTCCCAACAGCCAGACTGCACAGACACCAGGCCCGGTGGCCTGGTGGCTAAAGCTCCCGCTTCACACACGGAGGGCCCGGGTTCGATTCCCGGCGGGTGGAAACATTTCGATACGTTTCCTTATACCTGTTGTCTTGTTCACCTAGCAGCAAATAGGTACCTGGGTGTTAGTCGACTGGTGTGGGTCGCATCCTGGGGGACAAGATTAAGGACCCCAATGGAAATAAGTTAGACAGTCCTCGATGATGCACTGACTTTCTTGGCTTATCCTGGGTGGCTAACCCTCCGGGGTTAAAAATTCGAACGAAATCTTATCTTATCTTATCACAACCAGCACCTCCATAAGAGTCCTGACTAGGACAAAAGTGAAGTACTTTGAACTAGTCAATGCAGGGGTTGACACTATACCCTGTGGAGGTTGTAACAGCAAGACACCTCTGAGGTACATCGCAAGGAACACATTGAGGAACAGTATCTTGAACATCTGTGTAAAACAACGCAGGTCCACCAACCACCTGATGAAATTTAAGAACTCTGGTCTTGTGATTATACAAGACAATTTCTGATGTAAATGATTTGAATCATCACGGATAATCATTTCTAACAATTAGAGGGAAGAAAGGAAACTTTATTATCTCTGAAGTGTTAGCAAGAATTCTTTTTAAAACAATAAACTCAGCCATCATATACCTACAACTACTAGTACTACTACTACCAGTAGTATTACTACTAGTACTACTACTACCAGTAGTATTACTACTAGTACTACTACTACCAGTAGTACTACAGTGGACCCCCGCATAACGATGGCATCACATAGCGATTTTTCCGCATACCGCTTACTTTTATCGCAAAATTTTTGCCGCGCATACCGATTAAAAACCCGCTCACCGATTTTCGTCCGAGACGCGTCCAATGTGCCCTCACATGTGCCGCCCGTCCCATTGTTTACCAGCCAGCCTCCGCGGTAACATCCAAGCATACACTCGGAATATTTCGTATTATTACAGTGTTTTCGGTGCTGTTTCTGGAAAATAAGTGACCATGGGCCCCAAGAAAGCTTCTAGTGCCAACCCTGTGGTAAAAAGGGTGAGAATTAGTATGGAAATTAAGAAAGATTTTGAAGGGTTTGGGGCTAACCCTGAGAAGCCTATGCCAGTTGTGGAATCCATTGTGCCTACTTCAAAGATTAAGGAAATGTGTGCACAGTGGGTTGAACTGCAAACCTTTATAGATGAAAATCACCCTGACACAGCTGTTGCAAGCCGTGCTGGTGACTATTTCAATGACAATGTTGTGGCCCATTTTAGACAAATCGTAAAGGAACGGGAGGTACAGAGCTCTATGGACAGATTTGTTGTGCGACAGAGGTCCAGTGACTCTCAAGCTGGTCCTAGTGGCATTAAAAGAAGAAGGGAAGTAACCCCGGAAAAGGACTTGCTACCTCAAGTCGTAATGGAAGGGGATTCCCCTTCTAAACAGTAAGAAGATAATGCTCTCCCCTCCTCCCATCCCATCAATCATCACCAGATCTTCAATAAAAGTAAGTGTCATGTAATTGTGCATGCCTTTTTCAGTTTGTGTGTATTAAAATTAACATTTCATGTGGTAAAAAAAAATTTTTTTCATACTTTTGGGCGTCTTGCACGGATTAATTTTATTTCCATTATTTCTTATGGGGAAAATTCATTCGCATAACGATTATTTCGCATAACAATTATCCCTCTTGCACGGATTAAAATCGTTAACCGGGGGTCCACTGTACTACAAATATTACTACCAGTACTACAACTACTACCACCACCAACAGTACTACTATTACTACTACCTACCAAAAATGACATTAATTTTTATGGACTCTTCAGGTGATTTAAAACTATGTGAAATATGTGTTGCCAGTAATGGTATGAAGATTATTTTAGAATCATTAAATACGGTAAGTGATACAGTGCTTTTTGTCGAGCATTAAGTGTACGAGAGGAAGGTGCCCGGGCACTTGCAGAGATCATATGTGGCCGGGCACTTGCAGAGATTGTATGTGGCTCCTTTGTATAGAAGGAAAAGGGGATGTATGAGAGTGTATGAATTATAGAGAACAGGTTTGTTGAGTATACCTGGTGAAGTGTGTGATAGTTTTAACTCAGAGAATTGTAAGAAGCACAATCATAGAGCAACAAGGTTTTAGGAAAGGTACACTGTGTGTAAAGTGTTGACTCTGAGCCAGAGGAACAAGAAAGGTAGACAAGTGTGCAGACCAAGTGTAATATTGAGCCAGAGCAATAAGAAGGCTAGACAGTGTAGACTGTTTACAGTGAACCAGAGGAACAATGCTGTCAGGAAGTATTTCTTCAGCCTGAGGGTCGTGAGGGAATGCAAGTAGGTCCCACATGCAATTTTAAGTGTGGGTAGGATAGAGGGAGGCCAGGAGGGAGCAAAACCTAGCAGGTCAAGAATCAGGGGCCCAGGAGCTCTAACTTGACCCCGAGGAGGCACAGTACAGGAACGAGAGTGGTCGACTGACCTTGTCTAGAACCTTGTTGCTGACAGCGATGAACCTGCGCTTCTTCTTGCGGGTCACTGCTGGCCCAGTGCCACCAGTGCCACCACCGCCAGTGCCACCACCGCCACCACCACCACCACCACTGCTACCACTGCTGCCCATCATGTAAGACCCATCTTCCACACTTCCATTCTGAAAAATAATATTAAGACATTACCAAAGATGATAAAGTTGATCCCATGGATCAGAAATCTAACTTACGAGGATAGACTGAGGGCATTGTCTATCCTACAATGGTAGACTGAGGGCATTGTCTATCCTACAATGGTAGACTGAGGGCATTGTCTGTCCTACAATGATAGACTGAGGGCACTGCATCCTACAATGATAGACTGAAGGCAGTGTGTCCTACAATGATAGACTGTGGGCACTATTTCTCCTACAATGATAGACTGAGGGCACTGTCTATCATACGAGAATGGACTGAGGGCACTGTCTTATAGGGATAGACTGAGGGTACTAAGCTACGGGGATAGACTGAAGGCACTATCCTATGAGGACAGACTGAGGCCACTATCAAACATGGATAGCCTGAGTAGGTGTGAGCTGAACCTGCCTAACAGGGGCCAGTCTCCTTATATTCCTAACAATTGTCTTTCACCAAGGTTGTGTAAAACAAAAAAGAAAACACATTGACTATCACTCAGTGTACAGCTGTCAGGACAGCCCACAAGAAAAAGAGCAGTCAGTCTTTTCCAGTTAATGATGATTGACAGGAGTCTTTAAGAGTTGAGATGGTTGTTTGAGTCATTTTACCAGTTGATGATGGTTGACGGGAGTCTTTAAGAGTTGAGACGGTTGTTCGAGTCATTTAAGGTATGATGCGTGCTTACGTCTGGGCAAGACAGGTACTGAATGAGTGTGTTTATCTGGTTCTATACTGTGTTAATCTGGTTCTAGGTACCAACTGTGTATGTTTATCAGGTTGTAAGCACCAGAGGCAGTGATAAACAAGCGTGTGCAACGTTGCTAAGTAAGACACACATGCACGTCTAGTATCATTACGAAACATTTCATAATAAAGTTTAGGTTAGGTTAGGTTCGTTTACGTTCGGTTCGGTTCAGTTTGGTTTGGTTAGGTTTAGGTTAGTTTAGGTTAGGTTAGGTCTAGGTTAGGTTAGGTTAGGTTAGGTTAGGTTAGGTTAGGTTAGGTTAGGTTAGGTTAGGTTAGGTCTAGGTTAGGTTAGGTTAGGTCTAGGTTAGGTGAAATTAGGTGAGGTGTAGGTTAGATGAGGTGTAGGTTAGATAAGGTGTAGGTTAGATAAGGTGTAGGTTAGATAAGGTGTAGGTTAGATAAGGTGTAGGTTAGATAAGGTGTAGGTTAGATAAGGTGTAGGTTAGATAAGGTGTAGGTTAGATAAGGTGTAGGTTAGATAAGGTGTAGGTTAGATAAGGTGTAGGTTAGATAAGGTGTAGGTTAGATAAGGTGTAGGTTAGATAAGGTGTAGGTTAGATAAGGTGTAGGTTAGATAAGGTGTAGGTTAGATAAGGTGTAGGTTAGATAAGGTGTAGGTTAGATAAGGTGTAGGTTAGATAAGGTGTAGGTTAGATAAGGTGTAGGTTAGATAAGGTGTAGGTTAGATAAGGTGTAGGTTAGATAAGGTGTAGGTTAGATAAGGTGTAGGTTAGATAAGGTGTAGGTTAGATAAGGTGTAGGTTAGATAAGGTGTAGGTTAGATAAGGTGTAGGTTAGATAAGGTGTAGGTTAGATAAGGTGTAGGTTAGGTAAAGTGTAGGTTAGATAAGGTGTAGGTTAGATAAGGTGTAGGTTAGATAAGGTGTAGGTTAGATAAGGTGTAGGTTAGATAAGGTGTAGGTTAGATAAGGTGTAGGTTAGATAAGGTGTAGGTTAGATAAGGTGTAGGTTAGATAAGGTGTAGGTTAGATAAGGTGTAGGTTAGATAAGGTGTAGGTTAGATAAGGTGTAGGTTAGATAAGGTGTAGGTTAGATAAGGTGTAGGTTAGATAAGGTGTAGGTTAGATAAGGTGTAGGTTAGGTAAAGTGTAGGTTAGGTAAGGTTTGTCAGGAAACTGGACAAGTGTTTCCTGATGAGGGTCTTAGTAATATGATGACCTACAATCAGAGATTTTGGTCATCTGACCGAGGCCTTCCACTTGCTTTCCCTTCCACCCTTTTAAAAATTTTGGTCAAGATTATAATCATTTCAATACAGCAGTAACCCAGAACCTAACCTGATGTATAAGCAGGGTCCACCCATATATACAAGGTATACTGCCTGTATAGTATACCATTATCATGAACAAAAAGGCACAATACTGTGACTGGAACAATATACAAATAATCCACACATAGGAAAGAAGTATATGAGGATGTTTTGGTCTGACTTGGGCCATTTACAAGTCATACTAACACAAGGGAATGAGGGAACCAGTATACACAAACAATGACATCTTTGATCTTTGACCTCATGACTCTAGTCTCTTCCAGTCATTTCTCGATGACCTTAACAATCTTGCTCCTTCCATCAAGTATACAGCTGAATGGGAATCCAACTCTTCATTTCCTTTCCTTGATGTACATGTCCACTGTTCGGCTACAGGCTTTTCTTTTTCCATTTATTGCAAGCCTATGAACAGTGACATGTACATTCACTACTTTTCTTACCTTGTTCCATCTGTCAAGAGAAGTGTTTTTATTTCTCACTTTCTCTGTGTCCTCCACATTTGTGACCCTCAGTTCCTTGACTCGGTAATTTCCACTCTTTGTAATTCATTCTCTGGTCTGGGCTACACTTCCCACTACATAAACTCTGTCTTCCCACCTACTAAACTGACTTTCTTCTCTCCCAGACTCTCTACTCCTGTGAAATCTTCAGTTCTCTGCCTTCCCTATATTTCCAGTCTTTCTAATCTCAACAACTCTCTCCGTTCCTTAGACATCAAATTTACTTTTCACCAAACTAACAACCTTCACAGTAATCTACATTGTACCTGTCCTCAAGCTATAGATGATTCTGGTGTCTACTCTATTTCATGTTCCTCTTGTCCTCTTCAATACTTTGAAGAAACTAGCAGCTCTCTTTCTGACACACTTAAAGAACACACAAAAAAGGGCTACACTTGGCAACACCAATAATGATCTGTTCTGTCATTTTAGAGATAACAGTCATCCTACTACCGTTCTGACAAATGAGTGTAAAACGAAAGCCTGTAATTGTTTTACATGATGGTAGTATTGCTGGTGTCCATTTTTCTGTCTCAAACATGCAAGGTTTCAGGTACATCTTGCTACTTCTACTTACACTTAGGTCACACTACACATACATGTACAAGCATATATATACACACCCCTCTGGGTTTCTTCTATTTTCTTACTAGTTCTTGTTCTTGTTTATTTCTTCTTACCTCCATGGGGAAGTGCAACAGAATTCTTCCTCCGTAAGCCATGTGTGTCGTAAGAGGCGACTAAAATGCCGGGAGCAAGGGGATAGTAACCCCTTCTCCTGTATATATTACTGAATGAAAAAGGAGAAACTTTTGTTTTTCCTTTTGGGCCACCCCGCCTCGGTGGGACACTGCTGGTGCCTTGAAAGAAGAAAGAAGTCATCCTACTGACTGGCTCTCTACTAAAACTGCCTAACCTACTTCTAGCCTTCAGTCACCATCTACACTACTTCTAGCCTTCACAGTCACCATCTACACTACTTCTAACCTTCACAGTCACCATCTACACTACTTCTAACCTTCACAGTCACCATCTACACTACTTCTAGCCTTCACAGTCACCATCTACACTACTTCTAACCTTCACAGTCACCATCTACACTACTTCTAACCTTCACAGTCACCATCTACACTACTTCTAACCTTCACAGTCACCATCTACACTACTTCTAACCTTCACAGTCACCATCTACACTACTTCTAACCTTCACAGTCACCATCTACACTACTTCTAACCTTCACAGTCACCATCTACACTACTACTAACCTTCACAGTCACCATCTACACTACTTCTAACCTTCACAGTCACCATCTACACTACTTCTAACCTTCACAGTCACCATCTACACTACTTCTAACCTTCACAGTCACCATCTACACTACTTCTAACCTTCACAGTCACCATCTACACTACTTCTAACCTTCACAGTCACCATCTACACTACTTCTAACCTTCACAGTCATCATCTACACTACTTCTAACCTTCACAGTCACCATCTACACTACTTCTAGCCTTCATGGTCACCATCTACACTACTTCTAACCTTCACAGTCACCATCTACACAACTTCTAACCTTCACAGTCACCATCTACACTACTTCTAACCTTCACAGTCACCATCTACACTACTTCTAACCTTCACAGTCACCATCTACACTACTAGCCTTCACAGTCACCATCTACACTACTTCTAACCTTCACAGTCATCATCTACACTACTTCTAACCTTCACAGTCACCATCTACACTACTTCTAGTCTTCATGGTCACCATCTACACTACTTCTAACCTTCACAGTCACCATCTACACAACTTCTAACCTTCACAGTCACCATCTACACTACTTCTAACCTTCACAGTCACCATCTACACTACTTCTAACCTTCACAGTCACCATCTACACTACTAGCCTTCACAGTCACCATCTACACTACTTCTAACCTTCACAGTCACCATCTACACTACTTCTAGCCTTCACAGTCGCCATCTACACTACTTCTAACCTTCACAGTCACCATCTACACTACTAGCCTTCACAGTCACCATCTACACTACTTCTAACCTTCACAGTCACCATCTACACTACTTCTAGCCTTCACAGTCGCCATCTACACTACTTCTAGCCTTCACAGTCACCAACTACAGTACTTCTAACCTTCACAGTCACCATCTACACTACTTCTAGCCTTCACAGTAACGATCTACACTTCTTCTAGCCTTCACAGTAACCATATACACTCCTTGTAGCCTTCACAGTAATGATCTACACTTCTTCTAGCCTTCACAGTAACCATATACACTACTTGTAGCCTTCACAGTCACCATCTACACTACTTCTAGCCATCACAGTCACCGTCTACACTACTTTTAACCTTCACAGTCACCATCTACACAACTTCTAACCTTCACAGTCACCATCTACACTACTTCTAACCTTCACAGTCACCATCTGCACTACTTCTAACCTTCACAGTCACCATCTACACTACTTCTAACCTTCACAGTCACCATCTACACTACTTCTAACCTTCACAGTCACCATCTACACTACTTCTAGCCTTCACAGTCACCATCTACACTACTTCTAACCTTCACAGTCACCATCTACACTACTTCTAACCTTCACAGTCACCATCTACACTACTTCTAACCTTCACAGTCACCATCTACACTACTTCTAACCTTCACAGTCACCATCTACACTACTTCTAACCTTCAGTCACCATCTGCACTACTTCTAACCTTCACAGTCACCATTTACACTACTTCTAACCTTCACAGTCACCATCTACACTACTTCTAACCTTCACAGTCACCATCTACACTACTTCTAGCCTTCACAGTCACCATCTACACTACTTCTAACCTTCACAGTCACCATCTACACTACTTCTAACCTTCACAGTCACCATCTACACTGCTTTTAACCTTCACAGTCACCATCTACACTACTTCTAACCTTCACAGTCACCATCTACACTATTTCTAACCTTCACAGTCACCATCTACACTACTTCTAACCTTCACAGTCACCATCTACACTACTTCTAACCTTCACAGTCGTCGTGTTGTTGAAGCACTACTTATACACAACTTTGCTTGTATAAATCTTAGTGGTGACTTTGTCACTGTAGATGTCTACCTTAAACATTAATCTTAGTGGTGACTTTGTCACTGTAGATGTCTAACTTTCTCATTATATTGTTAAATGTTCCAAACTTCACAACTCTCCTGACTTGACCTCATATTTTCTTCTCCTCTCCTCTCTCTACCTCTTCTCTTTTCCTTATTTTTTTGTTTTTCTTTTCTTCTACGTAAATGTGTTCTGTCCTTCAGTCCCTCCCCCTGTGTTTTTGGTCCCACCCTTGTGGACCAGTAGCTCTCCCGCAGTGCTCCTTTTTCTTGTCCTTAGACTGACTCCACTACTACTACTACTACTACTACTATTGCTACAAACATTACTATAGCCTCCCTTCACTCCCCTTCCGCATCACTAAACTACTCTCCCTACTTTCTACTACCACTATTACTAATACTACTACTACTACCACCACTACCAGCCTTACCACTGCTACCCGTTTTTCCTCTCTAGGTCCCAACTCCATCCCCCTCTGCCTATATATACTGGCTCCCTCACTTGTGCATTTGTGTTACTTTGTAAATGGTCCAAGTTGGACTGAAGCACCATTGTAGTAAGCTTCTCTCTCCTAGAGAACAACAAACCATGGTATTGTGCTTTGTTGTTTTTTAGGGCACTAATATTGTTATCATGGTACCCAAGTATCAGGAATGTTATCCTAGGCCACTATTATTGTTATCATGGTACCCAAGTATCAGGAATGTTATCCTAGGCCACTATTATTGTTATCATGGTACCCAAGTATCAGGAATGTTATCCTAGGCCACTAATATTGTTATCACATTACCCAGGTATCAGGAATGTTATCCTAGGGCACTAATATTGTTATCACGTTACCCAGGTATCAGGAATGTTATCCTAGGGCATTAATATTGTTATTTTGGTACCCAGGTATCAGGAATGTTATCCTAGGGCACTAATATTATCATGGTACCCAGATCAGGAATGTTATCCTAGGGCACTAATATTGTTATCATGGTACCCAAGTATCAGGAATGTTATCCTAGGGTACTAATATTGTTATTTTGGTACCCAGGAATCAGAAATATTATCATACTAAGAGTATACAACCTTGCTGTCACAGGAGGAGCCGAGAGCTGGGAAGTCCATCTCAGAGTCGATCTCGAAGGAGGAGCTGTGATGCTGCATCTTGTCTCTCTCGCTGTGGGCTGCTCCCTCGCTCTTGTTCCGCCGACGTCGCCTGTAACCGATAATTATTTATCATTACACTAATAATGTCCAAGTGTGAGGTTATCATCACTAACTTGTTTAGCTGTCAGAACTTTACCGTCCAGTCCCCGTAATGTTGAGCTACAGTCCCTGGACCCATTACATATACCTCTGTTATGCTGAGCTATAGTCCCTGGACTCCCTTTCTGTACCTCTGTTAATGCTGCGCTACAGTCTGTGGACCCATTACATGTACCTCTGTAATGTTGAGCTATAGTCCCTGGACCCATTACAAGTACCTCTGTAATGTTTAGCTACAGACCCTGAACCCATTACAAGTACCTCTGTAATGTTGAGCTATAGTCCCTGGACCCATTACATGTAATTCTGTAATGTTAAGCTACAGTCTCTGGACCTATTATGTATCTCTGTAATGTGCTACAGTCCCTGGACCCATTATAAACTTCTGTAAAGTTGAATTACAGTCCCTGAACATATTATTTGGCTCTGTAATGTTAAGCTACAGTCCCTGGACCCATTATTTAGCTCGGTAATCTTTCTGACTACCACCCATAGGATGGGTATAGGGTTGTATAATTGATATTAACCCTTGTGCTGTCCGTCACGTAGAGTTACATTATTGAGTCCTGGAGTCTCTGATGTAAGTCTACATCATGGGCTCAACTCACCCAGATAAGTTGTGAGTGGTAAATACTGTCTTAGATAGGGTGGCCTGTGGCCTGGTAGGCAAAGCTCTTGCTTTACACGCTGAGTTTCTGGGTTCGATTCCCGGCGAGGGTAGAAACATTGGGTGTGTTTCCTTTCACCAGCTGTCCATGTTCACCCATCAGTGAAATAGGTACCTGGGTGTTTGTGGACTGGTGTGGGTTGCATCCTGGGACAAAACTGACCTAATCTGTGGGAAATGCTCTGCATAACAAGGGGCTTTCTATATAGTAGTATGTCATTAATATCAGCTATGGTCTGTATACAGTGGACCCCCGCATAACGATGGCATCGCATAGCGATTTTTCCGCATAACGATTACTTTTATCGCAAAATTTTTGCCCCGCATACCGATTAAAAACCCGCATACCGATTTTCGTCCGAGACGCGTCCAATGTGCCCTCACATGTGCCGGCCGTCCCATTGTTTACCAGCCAGCCTCCGCGGTAACATCCAAGCATACACTCGGAATATTTCGTATTATTACAGTGTTTTCGGTGGTGTTTCTGGAAAATAAGTGACCATGGGCCCCAAGAAAGCTTCTAGTGCCAACCCTGTGGTAAAAAGGGTGAGAATTAGTATGGAAATTAAGAAAGATTTTGAAGGGTTTGGGGCTAACCCTGAGAAGCCTATGCCAGTTGTGGAATCCATTGTGCCTACTTCAAAGATTAAGGAAATGTGTGCAGAGTGGTTTGAACTGCAAACCTTTATAGATGAAAATCACCCTGACACAGCTGTTGCAAGCCGTGCTGGTGACTATTTCAATGACAATGTTATGGCCCATTTTAGGAAAGTCTTGAAGAAACGGGAGGTACAGAGCTCTATGGACAGATTTGTTGTGCGACAGAGGTCCAGTGACTCTGAAGCTGGTCCTAGTGGCATTAAAAGAAGAAGGGAAGTAACCCCAGAAAAGGACTTGCTACCTCAAGTCCTAATGGAAGGGGATTCCCCTTCTAAACAGTAAGAAGATAATGCTCTCCCCTCCTCCCATCCCATCAATCATCACCAGATCTTCAATAAAAGTAAGTGTCATGTAATTGTGCATGCCTTTTTCAGTTTGTGTGTATTAAAATTAACATTTCATGTGGTAAAAAAAATTTTTTTTCATACTTTTGGGCGTCTTGCACGGATTAATTTTATTTCCATTATTTCTTATGGGGAAAATTAATTCGCATAACGATTATTTCGCATAACGATGAGCCCTCTTGCACGGATTAAAATCGTTAACCGGGGGTCCACTGTACTTTGTACTAGTACCGTCCGACTTACAACCTGCTTGACCTACAACCACTCATACTTGTGACCATATGTCTGGCAACAGGGCCGGGCGGGCTGATGCACACCGCTGTATGACAGTTGACCGCTACCCACGGCAATGTGCCATCTTGGGAGAGCTCTCACGTCACTCAGGCAGCATCACTTTGAGTTACCGTGCCTTATCAGCAGTATCATACTGTACTAACTGTACTGTATTGTATATATGTACCTGGACAGCAAATTTCACCATGGCCCCTAAGAGGAAGTCTGAATCGTGTACTGGAGCTTGTGGCAAGACGGCAAGAAAGGCTCTTACTCTCGACAAGAAGATGAAAGTAATTAAGCAGTATGAGGATGGAAAACTTAGGTAGTAGGTAGGTAGACAGCAACCACCCAGGGAGGTACTACCGTCCTACCAAATGAGTGTAAAACGAAAGCCTGTAATTGTTTTACATGATGGTAGGATTGCTGGTGTCCATTTTTCTGTCTCATAAACATGCAAGATTTCAGGTACGTCTTGCTACTTCTACTTACACTTAGGTCACACTACACATACATGTACAAGCATATATATACACATCCCTCTGGGTTTCTTCTATTTTCTTACTAGTTCTTGTTCTTGTTTATTTCCTCTTATCTCCATGCGTGTCATAAGAGGCAACTAAAATGCCGGGAGCAAGGGGATAGTAACCCCTTCTCCTGTATATGTCACTAAATTTAAAAGGAGAAACTTTTGTTTTTCCTTTTGGGCCACCCCGCCTCAATGGGATATGGCCGGTGCGTTGAAAGAAAGAAAGAAAGAGGATGGAAAAAACCGCAAACAGCATTTCTCGCGATCTTCAGCTCACCCATTCCACTGTGTCGACAATACTTAAAGATAAAGATAAAGAGGGCATCAAAGAAGCAGTGAAATCTTCGGCCCTTGTGAGGTCAACAATTATCACAAAGAAACGTGAAGGCCCAATTGGTGAGATGGAAAAAGTGCTCAGTGTTTGGTTAGAAGATTATAGGCAAAAAAAAAAAGTGAATGAGATGCTTTCTGAAGTACAAAGAACATGAAAACTATAGTAAAAATGAAACAAAAAAATAAAACAATAAAATAAAATCATTACAATAACTGTGATGTTGATATACAGTAGTAAAATACTTAGTAAAAAGTAACATACGATACTATGTAGGTAATTTACATAGTAAAGATTTAATATTACGCCCGACCCAGTATGTCGGCAATACGTATTCTAAGAATCGACTTGCATCCATTTTGACTTATGACCGGTTGGTCAGAACCAAGCTCGGTCAGAAGTTGGAAGGTACTGTACATGTACTTGTAGAAATAAGGATATAATTATTATAGATATGAGAGAATGTAGTGTGTGCACTGTATAATATAAATCATGCCCCCATGTGCTACATGATGGGAAAAACAAAACTGTGGCCTTATCGGCTGTATGAGAAGCATCGGCCAGCTGGCCGCCGCGGTCTGCGTGTCAGTCTAGCTGTGTCACTCACTGAATTAAAAAGCTTGTGCTCATTCATCCAAACATTTCCATTGTTTTTGGAGGTTTTTCCATTAAGTGCAACTGCAAAATAAGTTACCATGGCCCCAAAGAAAGTTCCTAGTAAAGTTCCTTTGGTAAAGAAGGTGAGAAACACCATGGAATTTGAGAAACAAGTTGTTGAAAAATATGAGAGTGGCCTTCGAGTGCTTGAGCTTGCCAGGATGTATGGTAAAAACAAATCAACAATCACTTTTATCCTGGCAAAGAAAGAACAAATCAAGCAAGCTGATGTGGCAAAAAGAGTAAATGTGCTAACCAAAGGCCACCAATAATTGAAAACATGGAGTTGTTGTCGTTGTGGATCACCGAAAAACAATTAACAGGAGACAGTGTTGTGGAATCCATTATTTGTGAGAAGGCAAGTTGCATGCAGATCTTGTAAAGAAAATGCCTGGAACAAGTACTGATGTTTGTGAATTTAGGGCCAGCAAAGGCTGGTTTGAGAGATTTAACAAGCATAGTGGGATACACAATGTGGTAAGGTATGGCAAGGCTGCAAGTTCTGACAAATGTGCAGCTGAAAAATTTGTATGGGAATTCTAGGGGTACATAAAGGCTGAAGGATTCAAACCATAACAAGTGTTCAACTGTGACAAAACAAGCCTGTTTTGGAAGAAAATGCCAGAGAGAACCTACATTATGCAAGAGGAAAAGGCACTACCAGGCCACAAGCCTATGAAAGACAGGCTTACTCTTGTGTGGTAATGCTAGTGGGAATTTCAGAGTGAAGCCTTTACTGGCATATCACTCTGAAAATTCCAGTGTTCAAGAAAAACAATGTCATCAAGAATAGATTGTGTCTGATGTGGAAGGCTAATAATAAGGCATGGGTCACAAGGCACATTTTCAAAGAGTGGGTCACTTGTGTGTTTGGCACAAATGTGAAAAAATATCTCTTGGAAAAGAAATTGGCACTCAAGTGCCTCCTGGTACTGGACAATGCTCCTGCTCATCCTCCAGACTTGGAAGACCAAGTGTTTAGGGACTTCAGTTTTATAACAGTGAAGTTCTTGCCTACTAACACCACTCCTCTTATCCAACCCATGGACCAGCAGGTCATTTCTAACTTCAAGAAACTCTATACCAAAGCAGTGTTTCAAAGGTGCTTTGAAGTGACCTCGGACACAAATTTGACCCTAAGAGAGTTCTGAAGGAATCACTTCAATATCCTACATTGCATAAGCCTTACAAGTAAGGCTTGACAGGGAGTGACTTTAAGGACTTTGAACTCTGCTTCGAGATAATTGTGGCCAGGTTGTGTCCACGAGAGGGATTCTGAAGGGTTTGAGGCTGACCTTGAGGACCCTCTGCCTGTTGTGGATTCTATTGTGGCACTGGGGAAGTCCCTGGGATTGGAGGTTAGTGGCGAGGATGTGGAAGAATTGGTGGACGACCACAGGCAAGAGCTAAACACTGAAGAGCTGCAAGAGCTTCAACTTAAACAGCAACAGACTGTAGTTAAGGAACTTAGTTCAGAATAGGAGGAAGG